TTGATTTCTTTCTCTTGCCTGATTGCCCTAGCCAGAACTTCCAACACTATGTTGAATAGGAGTGGTGAGAGAGGGCGTCCTATCTTGTGCCAGTTTTCAAAGGGAATGCTTCTAGTTTTTGCCCCTTTAGTATGATATTGGCTGTGGGTTTGTCATAAATAGCTCTTATTATTTTGAGATATGTTCCATCAATACCGAATTTATTGAGAGTTTTTAGCATGAAGGGCTGTTGAATTTTGTGAAAGGCCTCTTCTGCATCTATTGAGATAATCATGTGGTTTTTGTCTTTGGTTCTGTTTATATGCTGGATTATGTTTATTGCTTTGCGTATGTTGAACCAGCCTTGCATCCCAGGGATGAAGCCCACTTGATCGGTGGATACGCTTTTTGATGTGCTGCTGGATTCGGTTTGCCAGTATTTTATTGAGTATTTTTGCATTGATGTTCATCAGGGATATTGGTCTAAAATTCTCTTTTTTTGTTGTATCTCTGCCAGACTTTGGTATCAGGATGATGTTGGCCTCCTAAAATGAGTTAGGGAGGATTCCCTCTTTTTCTATTGATTGGAATAGTTTCAGAAGGAATGGTACCAACTCCTCCTTGTACTTCTGGTAGAATTCGGCTGTGAATCTTTCTGGTCCTGGACTTTTTTTGGTTGGTAGGCTATTGATTATTGCCTCAATTTCAGAACCTGCTATTGGTCTATTCAGGGATTCAACTTCTTCCTGGTTTAGTCTTGGGAGAGTGTAAGTGTCCAGGAAATTATCCATTTCTTCTAGGTTTTCTAGTTTATTTGCGTAGAGGTGTTTATAGTATTCTCTGATGGTAGTTTGTATTTCTATGGTGTCGGTGGTGACATCTCCTTTATCATTTTTTATTGCATCTATTTGATTCTTCTCTCTTTTCTTCTTTGTTAGTCTTGCTAGCGGTCTATCAATTTTGTTGATCTTTTCAAAAAACCAGCTCCTGGATTCACTGATATTTTTGGAGGGTTTTTTGTGTCTCTATCTCCTTCAGTTCTGCTCTGATCTTAGTTATTTCTTACCTTCTGCGGCTTTTGAATGTGTTTGCTCTTGCTTCTTTAGTTCTTTTAATTGTGATGTTAGGGTGTCAATTTTAGATCTTTCCTGCTTTCTCTTGTGGGCACTCAGTGCTATACATTTCCCTCTACACACTGCTTTAAATGTGTCCCAGAGATTCTGGTATGTTGTATCTTTGTTCTCATTGGTTTCAAAGAACATCTTTATTTCTGCCTTCATTTCATTATGTACCCAGTGTCATTCAGGAACAGGTTATTCAGTTTCCATGTAGTTGAGCGGTTTTGATTGAGTTTCTTAGTCCTCAGTTCTAGGTTGATTGCATTGTGGTCTGAGAGATAGTTTGTTATAATTTCTGTTCTTTTACATTTGCGGAGGAGTGCTTTACTTCCAACTATGTGGTCAATTTTGGAATAAGTGCGATGTGTTGCTGAGAAGAATGTATATTCTGTCGATTTGGGTTGGAGAGTTCTGTAGATGTCTATTAGGTTCGCTTGGTGCAGAGTTGAGTTCAGTTCCTAGATATCCTTGTTAACTTTCTGTCTCATTGATCTGTCTAATGTTGACAGTGGGGTGTTGAAGTCTCCCATGATTATTGTATGGGAGTCTAAGTCTCTTTGTAACTCTCCAAGGACTTGCTTTATGAATCTGGGTGCTCCTGTACTGGGTGCATATATATTTAGGATAATTAGCTCTTCCTGATGAATTGATCTCTTTACCATTATGTAATGTCCTTCTTTGTCTCTTTTGATCTTTGTTCGTTTAAAGTCTGTTTTATCAGAAGCTAGGATTGCAACCCCTGCTATTTTTTTTTTGTTTTCTATTTGCTTGGTAAATCTTCCTCCATCCCTTTATTTTGAGCCTGTGTGTGTCTCTGCATGTGAAATGGGTCTCCTGAATACAGCAAACTGATGGGTCTTGACTCTATCCAATTTGCCAGTCTGTGTCTTTTAAATGGACCATTTAGTCCATTTACATTTAAGTTTAATATTGTTATGTGTGAACTTGATCCTATCATTATGATATTAGCTGGTTATTTTGCTCGTTAGTTGATGCAGTTTCTTCCTAGCATCGATGGACTTGACATTTTGGCATGTTTTTGCAATGGCTGGTACCAGTTGTTCCTTTCCATGTTAGTGCTTCCTTCAGGATCTCTTGTAGGGCAGGCCTGGTGGTGACAAAATCTCTCAGCATTTGCTTGTCTGTAAAGGCTTTTATTTCTCCTTTGCTTACGAAACTTAGTTTGACTGGATATGAAATTCTGGGTTGAAAATTCTTTTCTTTAAGAATGTTGAATATTGGCCCCCACTCTCTTCTGGCTTGTAGAGTTTCTGCCAAGAGATCTGCTGTTAGTCTGATGGGCTTCCCTTTCCCGACCTTTCTCTCTGGCTGCCCTTAACATGTTTTCCTTCATTTCAACTTTGGTGAATCTGCCAATTATGTGGCTTGGCGTTGCTCTTGTCGAGGAGTATCTTTGTGGCATTCTCTGTATTTCCTGAATTTGAATGTTGGCCTGCCTTACTAGCTTGGGGAAGTTCTCCTGGATGATATCCTGCAGAGTGTTTTCCAACTTGGTTCCATTTTCCCCGTCACTTTCAGGCACACCTATCAGATGTAGATTTGGTCTTTTCACATAATCCCATATTTCTTGGAGGCTTTGTTCATTTCGTTTTACTCTTTTTTCTCTATACTTCTCTTCTCGCTTCATTTCATTCATTTGATCTTCAATCACTGATACTCCTCCTTCCAGTTGATCGAGTGGGTTACTGAAGCTTGTGCATTTGTCATGTAGTTCTCGTGTCATGGTTTTCATCTCTGTCAGTTCTTTTAAGGTCTTCTCTGCATTGATTATTCTAGTTATCCATTCATCCATTCTTTTTTCAAGGTTTTTAGTTTCTTTGCGCTGGGTACATAGTTCCTCCTTTAGCTCTGAGAAGTTTGATAGACTGAAGTCTAAGCCGCTTTCTCTCAACTCTTCAAAGTCATTCTCCATCCAGCTTTGTTCTGTTGCTGATGATGAGCTGCGTTCCTTTGGAGGGGGAAATGTGCTCTGATTTTTTGAATTTCCAGCTTTTCTGTACTGCTTTTTCCCCATCTTTGTGGTTTTATCTGCCTTTGGTCTTTGATGATGGTGACGTACTGATGGGGTTTTGGTGTGGGTGTCCTTTCTGTTTGTTAGTTTTCCTTCTAACAGTCAGGACCCTCAGCTGCAGGTCTGTTGGAGTTTGCTTGAGGTCCATTCCAGACCCTGTTTGCATGTGTATCAGCCGCGCAGGCTGCAGAAGATAGAATATTGCTGAACAGCAAGTGTTGCTGTCTGATTCTTGCTCTGGAAGCTTTGTCTCAGGGGTATACCCAGCTGTATGAGGTGTGAGGTGTCGGTCTGCACCTAGTGGGGAATGTCTTCCAGTTAGGCTACTCAGGGATCAGGGACCCACTTGAGCAGGCGGTCTGTCCATTCTCTGATCTCAACTTCCATGCTGGGAGAACCACTGCTCTCTTCAAAGCTGTCAGACAGGGACTTTTACATCTGCAGAGGTTTCTGCTGCTTTTTGTTTAGCTATGCCCTGTCCCCAGAGGTGGAGTCTACAGAGGCAGGCAGGCCTCCTTGAGCTGTGGTGGGCTTCACCCAATTCGAGCTTCCCAGTGGCTTTGTTTACCTACTTAAGCCTCAGCAATGGTGGGTGCCCCTCCCCCAGCCTCGCTGCCGCCTTGCAGTTAGATCTCAGACTGCTTGCTGTGCTAGCAATGAGGGAGGCTCCTTGGGCATGGGGCCCTCTGGGCCAGGTGTGGGATATAATCTCCTGGTGTGCCGTTTGCTAAGACCCTTGGTAAAACACAGTATTAGGGTGGGAGTTACCCGATTTTCCAGGTGTTGTGTGTCTCAATTTCCCTTGGCTAGGAAAAGGAATTCCTTTGCTTCTTGCACTTCCCGGGGGGGCGATGCCTCGCCCTGCTTCATCTCTTGCTGGTTGGACTGCACTCGTGGACCAGCATCGACTGTCCGACATGCCCTAGTGAGATGAACCCGGTACCTCAGTTGAAAATGCAGAAATCACCCATCTTCTGTGTCGCTCATGCTGTGAGCTGGAAGCTTGAGCTGTTCCTATTCGGCCATCTTGGCTCTCATAGATTACTTATTGGATTTTGTATATGTAAACAACTGTTAGTATGACATCGGATATACAGTATATGTTCAAAAAGGATTATTACCATTCTAGCTGTTATAACTTGTAAATTTCATAAAATTCTCAGTTTCACATCATGCCTGAATTCTTTCCTCAGTGTTCAACCTCTCTGCTATTCAAAAGTGGCTTCTGGGCCTGAAGCATTAACACTACCGGTGAACTTGTTAGACATGCAGACACTCAGCCAGCCGTGGTGGCTCATGCCTGTAGCCTTAGCTACTCAGGAGGCAGAGACAGGAGGATCACCTGAGCCCAGGAGGTTGAGGCTGCAGTGAGCTAAGATTCTACCACTGCACTCCAGCCTGGGTGGCAGAGTGAGACCCTGTGTCAAAATTAAAAATTAAAAAATATAGAAATGCAGAAACTCAAAACCTGGATCTACTGAATCAGACTCTGCATTTGAAGATCTCCAGTTTATTGTATACAATTTGAGAAGTATGTCTCTCAGTCACCATGACTTTTCCATCTGAGAGTTATACACAGCTGATTCTGGATGATGTAAATATAGCTCCCAAAAATGTATATTCCTGTGTTGATGCCTTAGTTTTATATTTTACATTTGATATAAATATCTACACTAGTTTTGTGAATTTTATGTTATTCTCTTTCCACAGTTTGAGACTACATTAGAAAATATTACTGTGTTAAAAATGATCTTACTGAATAACTCAGGTCACTCATATAAGTCAGAACCAATAACTGTCATTTCATCTTGAGACAAATAAAGAACTCTGCCATGGCCACATGGTCAGTGTATTGTTTATTTTTATTTCAGGGACTGTTGACATTCAGGGATGTGGCCGTAGAATTCTCTCTGGAGGAGTGGGAACACCTGGAACCAGCTCAGAAGAATTTGTATCAGGATGTGATGTTAGAAAACTACAGAAACCTGGTCTCTCTGGGTGAGGATAACTTGCCTTCAGAATATCTAATAACTAAGAATTTTATTTCTTTTCTTTTCAGAATGTCCCTTGGGATCTTGTGCTTTGTATGAGTTAGTTTCAGATTCTTGTTTTCAGGAAAAAAATAGGGGTTTTGTTGATGCAGAAAAAATTTCATAATGTTTGATTTTGACATTTGCCTTTTTATTTGAGGTGATGTACAAGTTTCACTCTAGTTGTGATTCTAGAAATTGGTTGACATACACTATTGTTACTTACACTTTAAAATCCAATTTTTTGGTTTTTGATTCAGTCAGATTTGCAAGAGAAGCTCAGGATCCCCAAATTTTAAATGCTTTCTAAATATTGTAAAGAAGCTGGTAGGAAACAGTATTTTGATAAATACTTTCCAAGAATCTTCTATAATGTCTTCTTTTTTCTACTGAGCACAGTACTCACTTAGAAATTAATCCTGTCCTGTGGGGCCAAAAAAAAGTATAAAAATAAAAAATAAAAAGAACCCTCAGTAAGAGTCATGTGAATTTTTCCAATGAAACAGGTCTTCTTGTCTCTAAACCGGACCTGATCACCTTTTTGGAGCAAAGGAAAGAGCCCTGGAATGTGAAGCGTGAGGAGACAGTAGCCGTCCAGCCAGGTAGGTGGGAGCGAATGAAATAGATGACATGGGTGAGAGGTCCAGCGGTCAAGAAAGAACCAGACCTTGAAGTGTGGATTGGGAAGTTCTCCAATGGAAATGATTTTTGAGATGCCTGGGTTCTTTCCCTTGCTGTCATAGAGGGACATCTTCTGTCACATGCTCTTAAATTATCTGATGATTCTCCTTCCTCTTCTGTGATCCACCATCATATTCACAGTGACAGCCAAAGTGCTCCCCTTGGCCTGTGAGGACCTGTGTGATCTGACTGTTCTTCCATTGATTTGGGGGCTCTGGGAAAGTCTGCATGTTTCTACCTCTATGTGAAACCACATCTAAAGTTCTGGTTTTGCTTCATGTCAGAAGTGTGTGAGGGGAGTGATGGACAGTGAAATTTTTTTTCAGAAGTCCCAGGAATTCTGTGGATAGATGTCACATATTTTCTGATATATTAATTTTTAATCCTATTGTGGTTTCCGAGGTGATCCCACAGAAATTAAGATGCAGTAATTTTATCAAAATACAAAACATCTTTCCAAATCTAAGAAAATCTAATCATGTTTCACTTCAACTTTTCATTTTTCCTTGCCTGAGCTAAGATAAGAAATTTAAACTCTATAGGCACAAATTCCACAAATGTTAAATAGTTTAATGTGTATTACTTATTATGTAGAATTATTATCTAAATTTTTGTCTATGGGGAGCTTATAACATTGTCCATTATATAATAAACTCTAAACTGTTGCCTTATATCTTAATAACTATCATTCTTTAATTTTGTCTGGTTCAGTATGAAACTTACTGAGAATATGTCCTTTAGTTCCTTTTTTTTCCTTCTAGACATATGATTCTTTCCACAAATATAAATGGTATCTATTTAAAATTTTGATGATTTGACATACATACACATTGTGTAATGACTAAGATAGCAAAGTTAATTACCACATCAGTCACCTCACATTAGATGCCAATTTTTGTGTGTATGATGAGAACTCTTAAGATATACACTGTTAACAAATCTCAAGTATACTATAGTGCTGGGGTCTGTAGTTCTGGTCTGTGGCCTGTGAGGAATCTGATCACACAGCAGGAGGTGACCATTCAGCCAGCGAGCATTACTGCCTGATCTCTGCCTCCTCTCAGATCAGCAGCAGCATTTGATTCTCATAGGAGTGTGAACCCTATTGTGAACTGTGCATGCAAAAGATCTAGGTTGTGTGCTTTTTATGAGAATCTATCTAATGCCTGATAATGTGAGGTAAAACACCTTCATTCCAAAACCACCCCCGACTGGACCTCCATCTGTGGAAAAATTGTCTTCCATAAAACTGGTCCCTGCTGCCAAAAAGGTTGGGGACTACTACTATAGAGTATCATTAACTATATTTACAATGCTGTACATTAGATATTCATAATTTATCTTATAAATGAAAGTTTTTACTTTTTACCATGATGTCCACCTTGTTTATTCATCCATGTTGTCAGAAATTGCAGGAGTACCTTCTTCATTATGTCTGAATAATATTCTATATATTGTGAATAATTGGCTGTGAACATAGGGGTACAGATATATCTTTGACATACGATTTTATTTCCTTTGGTTAAACAATTAGAAGTAGGATCGAAGGTTCATATAATACTTATATTTTTAATTTTTTTGAGGTGCCTTCATGCCATTTTTCATAATGGCTGAATCAATTTACATTTCCACTGACAGTATCCAAGGGTTTTCTTTTCTCCATGCTCTCTTATTATTATTAATATTTCTTGACTCTGACAGCATTCTAACAAGTGTGAATATTTATTGACTTTGACAGCAGTTGTTCTAACAAGTGTGAGGTGATAGCTCATTGAGGTTTTACTTGCATTTTCCTGATGAATAATAACATTGAGAACCTTTTTATAAACCTGTTTGCCACTTCCATGTCATATTTTAAGAAATTTCTACTTGAGTGCTTTGCAAATTGATTTTTTTTTTTTTTTGCTATCGAATTGTGTGAGATTCTTAATATTTTGGATATAAAACTCTTATCAGATCTATTTTCTCCCAATCCCTGGGTTGCTTTTTCATGTTCTGTGTTTCTTTGCTGTGCACACACTTTTTTGTTTAATTTAATGCTACTTGCTTTTATTTTTTGCTTTTTGTTGCTTGTGATTTTTTGATGTGATAGCCAGAAAAATTACTGCCAAGGCCAGTGTCAAAGAGATTGTTCCTTATGCTTTGTTCTAGAAGTTATACAGTTTGTAGTTTTGTATTTAAGTGTTAATCCTTTTGAGTTAATTTTTGTACATGGTATAAGTATTCAGTTTTATTCTTTTGCGTATGACTACTTGTTTTCAGCATTATTTGTTGAAGAGACTGTACTTCCCCTTTGTGTATCTTGGTGCCCTTGTCAAAGTATTAGTTGACTGCATACACATGGGTTTCTTTCTGGTTTTTGTATTCTATTCCATTGGTCTATGTGTCTGTTTTTACGTCAGTAAGACGTAAAACCATAGCCTTGATTAGTATAGCTGTGTAATAGTTTGAAATGAAGAAGTGTGATGCCTCTAGCTTTATTCTTCTTTTTCAAGATTGCATTGGCTGTTTGGAGTTATTTGTGATTCCATAGAAGTTTTATAATTTTTTCTATTTCTGTGAAAAATGCCATTAAAATGTTAATACAGATTTCATTGGATCTGTGAATCACTTTGTGAAGTATGGACATTTTAGCAATATTATTTTTTCCAATCCATGAAGAAGGGATATTTTTCCATTTGTGTCTTTTTCAATTACTTTCATCAGTGTTTTATAGATTTTGCTGGACAGATCTTTCACTTCTTTTGTTAAATGAAGTTATAAAACTTTCAAAAATTTTTTGATACTATTATAAATAAGATTTTTTTGTAACTTTTTTCTCAGATAGTTTATTGTTACTATATGGCAATGCAACTAATTTTTGTATATTTTTGTGGCCTCAACTTTACTGAATGGATATATTAGCTCTATTTTTTGTTTGTTTGGTATAGTCTTTATGGTTTTCTGTATTTTAAAATCATTTCATCTGTAAACAGTGAGAATTTTACTTCTTTATTCCTGATTTGAATGCCTTTGTGTTTCTTTTTCTTACCTAATTGTTCTGGCTTGATTTCTCACTACTATGTCAAATAGAAGTGTTGAGATTGGGCATCCCTGTCTTGTTTCTGATACTAGAGGAAACTTTCAGCATTTCACTGTTTACTCTGTTGAGATGGATACTTTTGTATGTATGCTGTTGGGAGTTTTTATTATGAAAATGTATTTACTTTTGTCACAGACTGTTAATAAATTTTTTGAGACGATTATATGATTTTCATTTTTTTGTTATTGTGGTATATCATTTAAATTGTGTATGTTAAAACATTCTTGCATCTCAGGGATAAATCCTACTTGATAATGATGTCTGATCCTTTTAATGTGTTTTTGAATTTGGTATCTAGTATTTCGTTGAGAATTTTTGCTTGTATCTTTATAAGGAATATTGTTTTGTTCCTTTTTTGTAGTGTCCTTCCTTACTGGCTTCAGTATGAGATGTTGGTGGCCTCATAGAATGAGTTTGAAAGTGCCTTTTTCTTTCAGTTTTTTGGAAGAGTTTGGGAAGTGTTGACATTGCTTCTTTAAATGTTTGGTGCAGTTTACCCATGAAGTCATTTGGTCATGGGCCTTTTTTTTAAATTGGGAGATTTCTGAGTACTTCTGTCTTCTTTCTCATTATTAGTCTTTTGGGTGTTTCTGTTTCTTCACAGTGTGGTGTTCTTTCTGAGAATCAATTTCTTCCAAGTTATCTTTTGTTGTTATGTAATTGTTCATAATAGTTTATTTTTTCTCTTTCTGTGATACTAGCTGGAAGGACTACTTTTTCATTAATAACTTTTTGAGTCCCCTCTCTTTTTTTCCCTTGGATAATCTAGGAAAAGTTTGTTCTTTTTTTTTTTTTTTTTTAAAGACTCAACTCTTAGTTTTTTGATATTTTTTATTTTTCTGGTCTCTATTTTCTTTTTGCTCTAATCCTTATTATTTCCATAATTATGCCAACATTGGGATTATTTTATTCTTCTTGATCAAGCTCCTTGTGGATTACAGTTAGATTGCTTAAGATCTTTGTTTTCCTTATTGTAGAACTTTATCACTTTATACTTCTGTCTTAGAACTGCTTTTGTTACATCTCAGAAGTTTTGGTTTCTTGGCGTTTCCAATTTCATTTGTATCAAGATAATTTTTTATTTCCCTTTTGATTTCATGGCTGTTCAGAAGCATGTTGTTTAATATCAACACTGTATTAGTCCATTCTATAAAGAAAGGAGATTTAATTGGCCTACAATTCTGCAGGCTGTACAGAAGCATGGCACCAGCATCTGCTTGGCTTCTGGCGAGGGCCTCAGGAAGTTTGCAATCAGGGGAACTGGGAAAGGAAGAACAGGCAGTCACATGGCAAGAGCAGGAGCACGGGACTGAGTTGGGAGGTCCTACACACTTTTAAGCAACCAGATCTCGTAAGATCTGGGACAGATCCAAAGAATACTTGAGGGATCTGCCCCTATTATTCAAACACCCCATATTAGGTTCCACCTTCAACATTGGGGATTACTTTTCAATGTGAGTTTTGTGGTGGGAGACAAAACATTCGCACTGTTACACACACATTTGTGAGCTTTCTAGTTTTCTTCCTGCTGTTGATTTTCTAGTTTTACACCATTGTGATAAAAAACTTGATACAATTTTAATCTTAAATTAAAAAAACTTGTTTTCTATTTTTGGTTTAACATATGATCTATCCTGGAGAATATCCCACGTATTCTTGAGAACAATGTGTATTCTCATACTGTTTGATAAAATATTGTCTATTTAGTTTATAGTGTTATTCGGGTGAACTCTTTTTTTTATTAGTTTTCTCTCTAAATATTCCATGCTTTGTTGTAAGTAGGACATTGAAATTCCCTGTTACTGCATTTTATTTTCTCACCACAGATATGTTAATGTT